TTTAGGGTTTAGGGTTGGGAGGATTGGAAGGCGTGCTCGAGTCTCACACAGTCCTCCTCCCCTGTCTTGATCTATTTGTCCCACTGTGCATGCGCAAACTGTTCGTGTTATGTGGTTTCAGGCCAGTTTGGCGTCCTCTGCTGATGTTGGTTTGGGAACTTGAGAAAGAAGCTTGTGGTTGGGATTCCATCTTTTGCTTCATACTTTATTTTGTTGGGGTCGGGCATGGAGCTGGGGGCTACTTGCGAGTTTTCATGGTTTTGTCTCCAGACTTCTGGGCCGTTATTGCTTCGAGAGACCTGCTGCCCCAAGAGTCTGTGTTTGGGGCAGAGGCATGAGTAACATTTATTCAAGATGAGCCATGGTTTCCATAGTTTCGGAGAGGGGAGCGGCCAGAGCCCTCCATTCCTTGCACTCTATTCTACGCACTCGACAACTCATGTCTTCCATCCGACCCCATATCGAAGGCTTTGCTATATCGAAGGCTTCGCTGGGATCTCCGGCATCTATCTTTTTCGTCTCATGACTATTGGGCTGTGGTTGTTGGCTCAGACGGGTTTAGGGTTTAGGGTTTAGAAGGTCGGCACTGTATAGGGTGCAGGTAAATCCTACAAGGTTCTCTGTCGGGTGCGGTTGTAGAGGACGCGACGGTGGCGATGCAGAAGGCAAGCTCATTCGGGTGTCTCGTCCGCAGCTGCTTATGATGGTTGTTGAAGGTTGTTGTTGCCCGAAGCCCGAACCCCAAAAACACCATGACGGATGTTTTCTGCAAGTCCTTTTCAGCTGCTGGCCCAGACGCCCAGCGGGACTGTTCGCAAGACTACCGGCGAGTGGGAGCGGGTCATTCAAAAAATAATCTATACCCCCCAGCCCCTAAACCCGGAACTCTAAACCCCCCAACCCCCTAAACCCAAAACCCGGGCTGTTTTTTTTTTTTTAGGGGGCGGGGTGGGGTCTACGGGGGAACCGTAGCTCTCGGCGGAGCAAAGTGGCACATGGATGCATCCAGGCGCGCGAGCCCAAGATGCTGCTAGAGAAAAGGAAGCTCTAAGCAAGTCTGTTAGGGTTTAGGGTTGAGCATTTGGGATTTAGGGTTTAGGGTTTAGGGTTCAGGATTTAGGGTTTAGGGTTTAGGATTTAGAGATTAGGGTTTAGGGTTCAATTAGGGTTTAGGACTTCCAAATCCAAGAAAGTTGAATTCGACCTTCCGGGTTCTACATCCTACGAGTCTTTTACCCCAAAGCCCCACAAAGTTCAAAGTACAGCGGGCCTACCCCTAGGCCCCATAGTAGTTCCTTTTTGGGACTACCAAATAGGATCCTAAATTATAACCCACAAAAAAAGGAACTACTATGGGGCCTACGGGCCTATCGGTAGTTGCGTCCTGCCTTGTGTGGAGCCTGGAAGCCTCTAGGCCCTAAGCCCATTGGGACATGGCCCATTTCAGGGTTTTAGGGTTTAGGGTTTAGGGAAAACCAGAGCTCCAATCAAGCCTGTGTAAAATGGGAAAACCAGTGATGAAGCCCTACAGCCCTATACAAAACCTCATCGCAGGTTATCTCTGCCACCCGTCAATGTCTTCGTGCCCGAAGACCTCACGATTAAGACTGCAAGGCTGTCGAGTTGGGATTCGGGTGTAGGATTTGGGATCAGGGTTTAGGGTTTCGGGTTTGGGTTTATGTGTAAAGAGGTTGTAGGGTCGTCTATAGGCTTTAGAGGATTTAGATTTTGAGGGTTTAAAGGGTTTGTTTGGGGTTCAGGGTTGTGTGAACTGTGTGCATTCGGGGCTTCTCCCGTGCCCTACTGAAGCGGCATCCTCCCTGGAATATGAGTCCTGGAGCGTTGAGGACAGCCTTGTCTCCCTAAACCTCCATGTACCTATATAGTATGTACATAGGCCTTAAAGTACTTACGTATAGAACCCTTTAAGGCCTAAGTATAGACTATATGGGTACATGGAGCCTTTGGGTCTACCGGAAGCTGAAACGTAATTGCCCAGAGAGCTCAATACCCCTGAATGAAGGAATAGAGCTTAAATCATAATACGAAGCCCCCTATAATTGAAGGTATATACCCTAAACCCTAAACCCTATATTCCTTAGTTAAGGTGTCTTGGGCTCTCTGGGTGAGGCCTCGTTATCAGACTGCGGGCGCCCGAGTTAGACCCAGAGTCCCTGGCATAGCTCTGGGCAGTGGAAGAGTAGGGTTTAGGGTTTAGGGGTTTAGGGTTTAGGGGTTAGGGGTTAAGGGTTTAGGGTTTAGGGTTTAGGGTTTAGGGTCTAGGGTTTAGGGTTTAGGGTTTAGGAAGAGTAGCTCGCAGGACTCCTACGAGGAGGCCTTTACAAAGCTGAGCGGTGGCGAACAAAAAGAGCCAAAGCTTCGAGCCAGAGCACTCAGCCCTCAACCCTAAATCGCCCCTAAACCGTAAACCCTAGACCCTAAACCCCTAAACCCTACCCTAAGCCCAATAAAGGACCTTAGTCCCCATAGACCCTAAACCCAAAAAAGAAGGAGTCTTTAAACCTGAACCCTGATCCGCACACCAAGCCCAAAGCGTGCTAACCTGTATCGTAGAATGTAGGGTTCCTGTACTTTCGGAATTACGATGATGATTTGGGAAAGTATCCGCCATATAGCAACTTCAAGTGGGCCCTTGCAGAGGGCGCCGGAGCTTCCTACGGAGTTGCCGACCTCCGACGGCTTCATTTGCAAGGCCTTTCACATTCATGCAAGTTATAGCCTTTAGGGATGAGGTCTAGGGTTTAGGGTTTAGCCTTTAGGGTTGAGGTTTTTGGAATTTAGGGGTGCCGGGTTTCAGGTCCAGCCCTCATAAGGTTGAATTTTCGCGGTTTGGGTTTTAGGGTCGACGGTTTAGGATATTGGTTTGAGCGTTTAGGGGTTAGGAGTTAGGTCTTTGCGTTTTTCTCCAGCAAGATCGATACCGTTTAGAGCTTAACGTTTGCTGAATCTAAGCGTTGCTGTGCATGGGAGCCCCAGGCTACAAGCTGGAGGGTTGTTCTATTCCGCGTGTTGTTCAGGCATTCGGTAGCGGATAACATGGGGACCTGAATAATTACCTGTACTAGTTTGGGGG